CCAGGAAGGGCTGCAACGGGTCCGTCCACGAAGGGCAGCGAGGAGGCCACGAAGGGCTGCAACGGGGCCACGATGGGCAGCGATATTCCGATTCTTAAATAATGTGTGAGGGAGTCCTAAGCGTGAGCGCGACTCCTGGGTGCCTGAGTGTCGGGAGCGCGGCGCTTGAGCAAATTGCAAGAAAATCCGACGCAAGGGCGCTATTCTTCAGTAAATTGCAAGCATGTCTCCAGCGAGAGTGCGACTCCAGAGCGCCGAGAGAGCGCTTCCTGAATAAATTGTAAGGAAGTCCCAAGAGAGAGCGCGATTCCTGAATAAAGTGCGAGGAAGTCTCGGGAGGGAACGCGATTATTCAATACATTGTGAGGAAATATCAGGCGGGTGCCGTTGTTGTTGTAAACAGGGGGCCAACAACATAGTTTGAGCACCAAGACTTTCCCTGATAGAAAAACAACGTGCCCCGGGAGGGGCACTTCAATTGAAACATACAATGTACACCCGGCGGGGGGGATCAACAATAATTATTCTCCAGATGTGAGAGTTCAACAAAAACTGGTGGAACAACAACAACAACAACAACAACAACAACAACAACAACAACAACAACAACAACAACACAACAACAATTTTAAGACTGCTCGCCCTTATATGCTCGAGTGTCCAATAACGCGTATTTCCCAAACCCTCGATGCCCGCCCTCTTCGTCTTCGATCGAACCCCTTTTGGGGGGTATACCTTTCTTCCCTGCAGGCCGGGCCCCGGCAAGCGGCGGGGCGGCCGCGGACCGTCGGCCTGGCCAGCGGCAGCGCTGATCGGCGGGGCGGCCGCGGACCGTCGACCCGACCCCAAGAGGGACGGACAGGGGACCGACCACGACGACGACGACGACGACGTCGAAGACGACGGCGACGACGACGACGGCGACGACGAGAGAAAGCGAGAGCGAGAGAGAACGACAGCAGGGCCACGAAGGGCACGAAGTAGGCCACGAAGGGCGACAGCGGGGACACGAACGGAATGCGTATGGGGCCACGAAGAGCGCGAACGAGCGGGGGCCACGAAGTGCAGATAATGCGGGGCCACAGAAGGCAACTATGGGGCCACTGAGGGTAGCAACTGGGCCACGTAGGACAGTGAGGGGGGCACAAATGGCGACAGCGGGGCCACGAAGGGCATGCACATGGGGCCACAACGGGCGCGACTCCTGGGTGCCTGGGTGTCGGGAGCGCGGCGCTTGAGCAAATTGCAGGAAATTCCAACGCAAGGCCATTCTTCAGTAAGTTGCAAGGAAGTCTCCAGGGAGAGCGCGACTCCAGAGCGCCGGGAGAGCGATTCCTTAATAAATTGTAAGGAAGTCCCAAGCGAGGGCGCGATTCCTGAATAACATGCGAGGAATTCTCGGGCGGGAGCGGGGATCCTGGCTAAATTGTAAGGAAGTCTCAAGCGGGAGCCGTTGTTGTTGTAACCCGGGGGCCAGGGGGCCAGTTTGAGCAGGAAGACTTTCCTTGTCAAAAACAGGGTGCGAGCGTCGAGGGGCACACTTTGATTGAGAAGAAACAGTATGCACCGGTGGGGGGATCAACAATAATTATTCTTCAGAAATGAGAACTCTACAACAATAACAAGAACAACAACAAGCACAACAAGTACATTAACACTAGCAACACGAACAACAACAACGACAGCAACACAAACAACATAAACCACAACAACAGCAGCAACATTAACAACAACAGCAGCAGCAGCAACAACAACAACAACGACAACAACAACAAGTACTACTACTACTACTACTACTACTACTACTACTACTACTACTACTACTACTACTACTACTACTACTACTACTACTACTACTACTACTACTACTACTACTACTACTACTACTACTACTACTACTACTACTACTACTACTACTACTACTACTACTACTACTACTACTACTACTACTACTACGACTACGACTACGACTACGACTACGACTACTACTACTACTACTACTACTACTACTACTACTACTACTACTACTACTACTACGACTACTACTACTACTACTACTACTACTACTACTACTACTACTACTACTACTACTACTACTACTACTACTACTACTACTACTACTACTACTACTACTACTACTACTACTACAAATGCACAAGGTATTGTAAGACGATTCGACCATATCTGTTCGCGTGCCACTAAACACAATGTACCCTCAACCCTAAATGTCCGCCCTCTACGTCTGGGTAGATCTGTCTGACCTGCAAAATGTATTTCGTGCAGCCCCCAAGACAGGGGAAGAGAGGACGGATGGAAGGAAGGGAAAAGGGGGAGGGAGGAGGATGGAGCACGAGAGCGAGTAGCAGGAGGAGTCTAGCAGCAGAAAGCTACGGGCAAATCGTGCGGGTAGTCCCTAATGGGCTGGTCGGGAATGCGAGCCCAGGCGGCCAGGTCGAGTAGGCGGGTTACTGAAGCGTGCGCCCTGAATGAATCGCGAGAATGTCTCGAGCGATACCGCGATTCCCAAATAAATCGTGAGAAAGGCCAGAGCGAGAGGGTGATTCCTGGGTGTCGAGAGCGCGGCGCCTGAGTAAATTGCGAGGAAGTCCCACGCGAGAGCACGATTCCTGTATAACTTGTGAGGAAATCCAGCGCGAGAGCGCGACTCGGGAATACATTGTGAGGGAATATCATGCGAGTGCCGATGTTGTCGCTGTGAGCCGGTGGGCAACAACTCAATTCTGAGACCCAAGACGGTCCCTGATAAAACACAGGGTGCGAGCATCGGGAAGGGTACCTCAATTGAATTATCCCGGCAAAGCAACCTAACAGCGATGTGTAGGAGCATATCTGGAAGCATTCCCCTTAAGATTCGGATGAGAATCCAGTTGCAGAATTCTGCTGTTCTCGCAGTCGTAGTCGCATTCGCGATGACAGTCGCAGTGGCAACGGCAGTCGCAGTCACAGCCTCAGCCTCAGCCTGCCTCAGCCTCAGCCTCAGCCTCAGCCTCAGCCTGCCTCAGCCTCAGCCTGCCTCAGCCTCAGCCTCAGCCTGCTTCAGCCTCAGCTCAGTCTGCCTTCAGCCTCGGCCTCAGCCTCAGCCTGCCTCAGCCTCAGCCTGCATCAGCCTCAGCCTCAGCCTCAGCCTGCCTCTCAGCCTGCCTCAGCCTCAGCCCTCAGCCTCAGCCTCAGCCTCAGCCTCAGCCTCAGCCTGCTTCAGCCTCAGCCTCAGTCTGCCTCAGCCTGCCTGCCTCAGCCTCAGCCTCAGCCTCAGCCTCAGCCTGCCTCAGCTCAGCCTGCCTCAGCCTCAGCCTCAGCCTGCCTCTGCCTCAGCCTCAGCCTCAGCCTCAGCCTCAGTCTGCCTTCAGCCTCGGCCTCCTCAGCCTGCCTCAGCCTCAGCCTGCATCAGCCTCAGCCTCAGCCTCAGCCTGCCTCAGCCTCAGCCCTCAGCCTCAGCCTCAGCCTCAGCCTCAGCCTCAGCCTCAGCCTCAGCCTCGGCCTCCTGCCTCAGCCTCAGCCTCAGCAGCCTCAGCCTGCATCAGCCTCAGCCTCAGCCTCAGCCTGCCTCAGCATCAGCCTGCCTCAGCCTCAGCCTCAGCCTCAGCCTGCCTCAGCCTTCAAAATGTGGCCCGGGAAGGGAATTCTGGGAACTCGAAGAACACGAAGTGGCCTACAGTTGGCTCCGGGCACCCAAAATGTAGCCCGGGAATGGAGTTCTGGAAACTCGAAGACCACGAAGTGGCCTACAGTTGGCTCCGGGCATCCAAAATGTGGCCCGGGAATGGAGTTCTGGGAACTCGAAGACCACGAAGTGGCCTACAGTTGGCTCCGGGCATCCAAAATGTGGCCCGGGAATGGAGTTCTGGGAACTCGAAGACCACGAAGTGGCCTACAGTTGGCTCCGGGCATCCAAAATGTACGCCTGGAATGGAGTTCTAGCAGCGCCAAGAGCGATTTTGCGAGGATGTCCCAGGCGATGTGGGCTTCGGCGGCAGCCGCCCCGGGTCCCGCCCCGACCCCCCTGTGGAGTCATCTGCTGCTCTCTTTTGACACCACTAGAAACCTATCAGTCTTCGCTGTTAGGTAAAAAATACCATGTGCACCGGAGGGGGGATCAACAATTCTCATTCTTCACTCAACAACAAGAATAACAACACAACAAAAACAAACACAACAACAAAACAACACAAACTCATAATATCCCCAGCATCTTGGAAATCAATATTCGAGGTCATCGACGCAATATCCCACCTCCCCAGACATCCCGAGGTCAGCTTTATTCCGCACGACATGGGCCCCGACCTTTCAAACCCTCCCCCGCGAGGGAGGGCCATCCTGGACTGGTATTCCTTGTCCTGGGGCCTGACACCAGCCTCCAAAGCCCCAGAAGTCCAGAAAGTCTGCCGCGTGCTTTTTTCGGCCCCATGAACGTCTGGGAGGAACCCTGCAAATGCGATCCTCAGGTCGGCCCTGTGGCACGTGCTAGCCTGAATGTAAAAGCGAATCTGGCCGCGGCGCCGAGGGCAAATCGGGAGGCCCCAAAAGATTTAGAAACTCCCCGTAAAGACCTCGACCGAATCTCAAACCTCGACCATCCAACCTCGAACACCGATCCTCGATGTCTGCTTGGGTCACCGCGAAGGTTGCCAAGGGGAGATGGGGGAGTCCAATTGGATGCTATGCTGGGTAATGTATGGCCGAACCTATCTTATCAGTGGGTTGCATGTGCCCTCAGCGGCTTAAGGGGGTAAAGATCCGGGCTAAGCGGGGGGGGCCCAATCAACGGACTTACATTACCCTTTTAAACCCACTTTTAACCCACCTAGGGCCAAAGGCACCTGTAACCCACTTCCTAGTTAGGCCAGGGCAGCCCACATCAGCACCCACTTGCAAACCCCTGTTCGGAGACACGCAAGAGTGACCCTGGGCAAGCGCGACCTTTGGCACCCCCCGCGGTGGTCCAAGTAGACCCGCGCCATACTTGGGGGGCACGGTCCGGCCTCCTGCGTCTCAGCGGCGCTCAGCATGGACCTCCAGGGGTTGGCGCGAACTAATGGAGAGCGATAGAGGGGGGGGAGAGGGAGGGGAGAGGGGGGGAGAGCGAACTAATGGAAAGCCGGGGGAGAGGGGGGGGAGAGAGAGCGATAGAGGGGGGGAGAGGGGGGGGGGAGGGGGGGGGGAGAGCGAACTAATGGAGAGCGATAGAAGGGGGGGGGGAGGGGGGGGGAGAGAGATGCGCCCTTTTTGAGGCCGGAAGGCCCCCTTTGGGGCCCGAGAGGGCCCCGTCTAGGGGGCCTAAAGGGCCCCTACGGGGCCCCTTTCCGCAGCCCTCGCTGCCCCCCCAGTGGTCGCCCCCCCCCCCCATTGCGCGCCCCCCACAGGGGGCGGCGTCGGACAGCGGCCAGCTCTTCGTGGCGGGCCTGCCCACGCGGCCGACGAGAACGCAAGGACACCTTGGGCACCTGGAGAAGAGGATCGAAGAGGATCGACGAGGATCGAAGAGGGCTTAAGAGGAGCAAAGTGGACCAAAGAAGATCGGGAAGGGTCGAGGAGGATCGAAGGGGGGCGAGGAGTGTCGATGGGGATCGGGGAGAACCGAGGATCGAGGCCCGTGGACACCCAGAGAGACACGAAGGCCCTGTGTACCTAGAGGAGAACCGGGGAGGATCTAGGACCCCGGGCACCTGGAGGAGGATCGAGGAGGACGCAGGGTACTAACGTTACTGGCCCTTTCTTGGTTGGGCCTCCGAGGGCCTCGGTCCAAGGGGCTCTGGAAGCGTCCAGAAGCCTCTGTGTGGACCTCCGCGGAGACAACCCCCAGAAACCTGCGGAGTGCTTCAGACATCTGGCGGATTGGTGTGTGTGTGTGTGTTCACTCCTGGCGTTCTGTCCTAAGTGCTTGTGCACACCTTCGATGCAAGTTTATCTAAGTTCACAGTTGTATGACCATTCAGTTAAACATAAGTCTGTGTTCGCAACTCTAAACCTACATACGTGTACAATATTGTCACCGCGAGGGCTGCACATGGGACATAGTGGTTATACGTTGATGCTTATGTGGTTGATATCTGCTCTGGTCTTACTTATGAGTGGGTTACAAGCGCTCTAAGGGGCTTACAAGAGTTAGGGTAGCTCCGCTAAGTTGGGTCCGCCCACTTAGCCCTGACCGTTGCCCAAAATTAAGCCGCTTCGAACGCTCGCAACCCACATTACTATGTAAAAAATGGGCCACGTGTAACCCATTCACCAGCTAGGTTAGCATCCACGTATAACCGTACGATCCCCTAATATAGTCATCCGCTACCGTGCCCTCAAGGCAAGAGTTGGAGTGTCCCAAGGTCCCCTGTAGGCTCCCCTGGAACCTCAGCTCTCAATCCTGAGGATTCATGAAAGGACCCAAACCTAAAATTGCCAAATCTTCTGGTCTGGGGCTCCTGGCGTCTTGTCGCCTGACCTTTTCGGCCCCAAGAGGGCCCCAAGAGGCCGCCAAGACGGTCTAAGAGGGCACCGAATCGCTGGACGATCAGCCCATGACGCCAAAGATGGCCCCCAGACGGCCTCAGAAGCCGCCAAGACGCCCCAAAAGAGCCCAAGAGACCTCCAAGAGCACCCCCAAGAGGGCACCAGTTGTGTAATGTGGTTGGAGTTCTCCACTTTTGGAACTTCCGACGCTGCAAGACGCCTCCAAAAATCCCCTAAAAGGGCCCGAAGACGGCCCTGGACGCCCCAAAAGGGGGCCACAAGACGACGGCCCAAGAGGGCCCCGAGACGACTCAAGAGGCGCTCAAGACTGCTCAAATTACCTTGGCGAAAGACCCCACCATATGCTGTTGTGCACAACCAATTGTTGGTATCGCCTTCGGTGGGGTTCCCTATGGGGCCACGAAACGTGTGAGGGGTGTGCCAGCATGGGCGCGGTGGTGTCATGCGAGCGCAGCCACTGGGGCCTTCGGTGGAGCTCCCCATGGGGCCACGAAGCGTGTGAGGGGTGTGCCGAAACTCGCGCGTTGGTGCCATGCGAGCGCAGCCACTTAGTCCTTCCGTGGAGCTCCTTGTGTGGCCACGAGCCGTGTGAGGGGTGTGCCGAAATGGGCGTGGTGGTGCCATGCGAACGCAGCCACTGGGGCCATCGGTGGAGCTCCCCATGGGGCCACGAGACGTGAGAGGGCGTGCCGACATGGGTGCGGTGGTGCCATGCGAACGCAGCCACTTGGGCCTTCGGTGGCGCTCACTATGGGGCCACGAGACGTGTGAGGGATGTGCCGGCATGGGTGCTGTGGTGCCATGCGATCGCAGCCACTTGGGCCTTCGGTGGAGCTCCCCAAGGGGCCACGGAACGTGTGAGCGGTGTGCCGAAATTTGTGCGGTGGTGGTGCCATGCGAACGCAGCCACTTGGGCCTTCGGTAGAGCTCACCATGGGGCCACGAAACGTGTGAGGGAGGGGAGTGCCGACATGGGCGCGGTGGTGCCATGCGAACGCAGCCACGCGGGCCTTCAGTGGGGCTCCCCATGGGGCCACGAAACGTTGTGACGGGCGTGCCGAAAACCGTGCTGTGGTGCCATGCGAACGCAGCAATTTGGGCCTTCGCTAGAGTTCCCCTAGGGGGCCACGGAACGTGTGAAGGTGTGCCGAAATGGGTGCGGTGGTGCCATGCGAACGCAGCCACTTGGGCCTTCGGTAGAGCTCACCATGGGGCCACGAAGCGTGTGAGGAAGGGGAGTGCCGACACGGGCGCGGTGGTGCCATGCGAACGCAGCCACTTGGGCCTTCGGTTGAGCTCCCTATGGGGCCACGAATCGTGTGAGGGGTATGCCGACATGGGCATGCGGAGGCCAGAAGCACGCAGGGGGAGGAGGAAGGAGGAAGGAGGAGAGGAGACGTGGGGCGGTGTCTCCTCTTCAAAGGACCCAACACAGGATGGTTGGGAAAAACCATAAGACGGCCTCGAGAAGGGCCTAACAGGCGGAACGCGGACGGAAAATCCAAGCCTTCCGCCCCAAGAAGCACCCAGGAAGCTCCAAGAGGCCTCCAAGAGGCCCCCCACGAGACCCCAAGAGGCCCCCCAGAGACCCGAATGTGGTCCCAAGGGGCCCACAAACAGCCTCCCAGTGACACCACATCTGCCTGCAGGAGGCCCCCGAAAGGCCTCGACGAGATCCAAAACCACATCCAGAGACCTCAGACTCACAACCCAAGCGCGGTTGCGGGATGGACCGACGACCATTATTTTTATTCTGTTATTTATTAATATATATATATATATATATATATATATATATATATATATTATATATATATATATATATACATATATATATATATATATATATATATATGAGAGAGATTGTATCGATTGATACGCGTGTGCATATATGAACATGTATATATATTATATATATATATATATATGCACATATCGACATACAGTTAATTATACATACATACATACATACATACATACATACATACATACATACATACATACATACATACATACATACATACATTAGGCGACGAGCCCAGGGGGGAAATGAGAAGGAGAAGGCCTTCTCAGAAGGCTGCGGGACTTCTTAGAAGTCCGGGGGACTTCTGAGAGGTCTCCTTAGCCTATTTCGAACACAAACTGAACTTCTCAGAAGCCCTCTCAGAAGTCCGGAAACTTCTCAGAAGCATCGGAATTCCCGCCCCTTCTCATTTCCCCCCCGCGCCCGCCGCCCATACATACACACATACACACATACATATACATACATACATGCATCCATGCATACATACATACAGGCATACATACATACATGCATATCTGAGCACAAATGAAATATGTGTATATATACGCACATATATATATACATACATTACATTACATTGCATTACATTACATTACATTACATTAAATTACATTACATTACATTACATTGCATTACATTACATTACATTACAGTACATTACAGCACATTATATTACACTACCTTACATTCCATTACATGACATTCCATTACATTACATTACATTTCATTATATTACATTACAATACATTACACTACCTTACCTTATCTTACCTTACCTTACCTTACACTACATTACATTACATTACATTGCATTACATTACATTACATTACATTCATATATACACACAGACACACAATACGCAGCCCAAACAATCGTTGCACGTAGGGATTCGCACTTATGGTTTAGAGAACTGGGCCTGCGTGGCGGCCCGGCGGCTGTGTAGCCGCCGTCGCCGCCCGGTCGCCGCCTCGACGCCGCCCGTCGCCTGGGACTGCCTGTTTTTGGTATAAAAATCAAAATATAGCCTACCACACCCCTTCCGGGGTTAACGGAACACGTTTGTGTCTTGTTTTCTGGCATGGGATTATGCACGCGCGTCGACCCTGAATGCGAATTCGCAACATCCCAGGCACTCAGGCGACTTATCAGCCCCACCTCCACCCTGTCAAATGACACTACGCCCGCACACCAGTTCATCAAACATCAGTTGTTCCCACAAATCCTTTGCAACAAATGGGACGGCGTGCAAACATACGCGCGTCGCCGCGCGCGCGTGCCGAAATGTTTCAGAAGTGTCGTAGGGTTTTCACAATCGAATGGCCCGATGTTTTCCGTATGTATTAATAACCAAAATACACATAAAAAACATTTGCAACATGGATGTATGAGACAAGGCGCATGCGTACCAATTCTTGCGAGTATTTCGGGAAAAATGTGTTCAATTTCTGTCGTTCACCAGGTGCGACCAGAAGGGCCTCTCGCGCGCGCGCGTCGAAACCACTCGAAAACCCTTGCGCGCGTGTTCGGGGGGGGGGGGGGGCATGATCCGTGTCAAATAGTCACACGCGGGCCACTCGCGCGCGTCGGCCGCGCGAGTGTATCGAACCCCCCCAAAAAAACTTTCATCCCTGGCGCGAGGACACCATCATCGTCATCGGAATGGGCATCATCGTAGCCGTCATGTCTCTTCCCGTCGTCAATGTCAACATCGTCACCAACGTCGCTGCTAACATCATCGCG